ATTTCTGCATGTTGCTGTAAATGGAAATAATCTTGAAATTGATTGCATAATTGATTGTAGGTCCAGCAAATTGACAGAGTTGTCGAGGTGGTAGAAGAAACATTGAAAGGTATTATGGGATATCTGTATGCAGGGACTGTAAAGACAGGGTGCAGAGGGAGCCACACTTTTTCCTCAAGTCCTCCAATATTCTCCTATGTATTCCTTAATTCTTCTTCTAGGCTTTTGAAAATTCATGTTAGCCACTACCCCCTTCTTCTTCAATGTCGCTCCTTCCCCCACCAGACATGTTTTTATAATTACCATACTCTGCAGACCTTGTGGTATTGTCTTTTTTTAATTCTGGAAATCAAATGAATGTGTACATCTGGTATCTGGTTAATTCATTCTGAAGTCAATTCACTACCAGTCAATACTCCAGTTTTGAGATCTTATTTGTGTAGCCTTAGTCTAAAAAACATGTAATATATTCTTTTATTTAGCAGAGATCCTATTGTAATGCAAACACTCTGTGTACAAAGAAGACAATACAAATTTACATGTATGCTTGATTGAAGCTAAGCTTGCACAAAAAGGGATTCGAAACTGGAGTATTCCCTAAGCAAAACGTCAATTTGTTATGAATATCGAGTTGATTTGATATGTGTTTATGTAACATTATATAACATGGTAACATGATAATATAACATCTATACTACTCTGTGGATTCTCTGTCTGATGCTTGTATTTCTTTTAGGACACACAGTTCGTCTTTTTGGTCAGAAGAAAAAAGATGGCCGAAAGTCAGGAGGTGCTGCTTTGGATTTGCCTAAAATAAGGAAAAATCCCTTAGTGGAGATAATCGCTGTTAATACAGGGTACAAATCAAACCTTAACTACAAGTACCTTAAGAGATAGCTATTCCTTTGCATTAAAGGAAGACAATACATTGACTTTGAATTTTCCAATGCTCTGTGTTAGCCACATTTGTGTGCAAAATATTTATAATTGTGAGCATAAAAGTGTGAGATTACAAACAAATTTTGTTCTGTTTTTAAATTGAATTTTGTTGTGTCTCTTCAAAAATTCCATTCATTTTTCTCGGGCTATCAGTGAGATAAAAGAATATGTTGATTGGTTTTGAGGCTAAGACAGAGCAAACCACGACTCAAAATGGGAGTATTGTTAAGTGTGCAAATAGAAACATTCTTTCAACCCAATTGATTAACAGGTATGTATGATTGCAAGCTCAACAGCCATCTCAATTCAATGCAAAGGCAACTATCTTTTTTAAGATGCAGCAAGGAGCTTTGAAGGAGACTATTGTTGCAAGAACTGGGCCATTCAAATGTACTGAAAAAATTTTCTTCTCTGTGTAGTTGTCTAAATCAATGCACGTACTGTAAGACCAAGCATGCAAGAGGTGAATTAGGGAGTTATCCCCCTGAAGAAATCGTCGCCAGAGCAAAACA